CTGTCCTGGAGCCCTGCAGGCTTTGGATGGGTTGATGTGTCCTGAGCCCTGGGGGAGAGACCAGTGGGGAGGTCACTGGAGTCCAAGCCTCATGGTGGGTTGGAGTAAAACAGCCAAAGAGGGAAGACAAAGGTGTGCCAGGTAGAAAGGTTGGCGTGTGCCAAGGCCAGGTGTTGGGAGGGAGTTTTGGCCAGGGTTGGGGTTAGAGAGAAGGAGCAGGAGTGTGGTGGGGTGGGACCAAAGAGAAGTCAGGAGCCTCCGGAGTTGAGGAGGAGCTTATCTGCCCTAAGGGAACCATGAGAAGCCCAAAGAGGTGTGTGTGTGTGTGTGTATGTGTGTGTGTGTGTGTGTGTGTGTGTGTGTGTGTTGTGTATGAGAGTGTGAGAGAGAGAGTATGTGTGAGATAAAGTCAAAGAGAGAGAGAGAGAGAGAGAGAGAGGGAGAGAAGGAAGGAAGGAAGGAAGGAAGAAAGAAATTAGCAGGCCTTGATGGTGCGTGCCTGTAATCCCAGCTACTTGGCAGGCTGAGGAGGAAGGATTGTCTGAGACCAGAAGGTAGAAGGTGTGGTGAGCCATGATCTTGCCACTGCGCTCCAGTCTGGACAACAGAGTAAGACCCCTAACTCAAAAAAATAAAACAAAAAATAAAGTTAATTCTGATTGCCAATAGGAGTACTGGGGACTGAGGTGGAGAAGACTAAATAAGAGAAAGCACAAGCCGGGCTCGGTGGCTCAGCCTGTAATCCCACGCCTTTGGGAGGCTGAGGTGAATGGATTGCCTGAGCCCGTGGGTTCGAGACCCGCCTGGGCAGCGAGACCTCATCTCTACAATAAATCAAAAAAATCAGCCGGGCGGGTAGCGCATGCCTATAGTTCCAGCTACTTGGAAGGCTGAGGCGGAAGGATCGCCAGAGCCCAGCAGGTCGAGGCTGCGGTGGCCGGGAGCGGCCGCTGCACTCCAGTCTGGGTGACTGAGTGAGACTCCAACTCAAAAAAAAAAAAAAAAAAGAGAGAGAAAGCACATAAAGTCCTTAGTTTAGTGCTGCTGTTGGGAATGCCGGGTCACACTAGGGGAAATTATCTTTTTTTTTTTGAGTTGGAGTCTCACTCTGTCATCCAGGCTGGGCTCTGGCGATCCTTCCACCCCAAGTAGCTGGAACTACATCATGTGCTACCATGCCCAGTGCATTTTTTTTTTCTTGTAGAGACGAGGTCTCGCCAAGTTGCCTGGGCTGGTCTTGAACCCACGGGCTCAGGCAATCCACTCACCTCGGCCTCCCAAAGTGCTGGGATTACAGGCTGAGCCACCGAGCCTGGCCTAGATGAAATTATCTTAATCATTATAGCAAGGCAATGATAAAGCCAGGCCTGGGACCCAGCGACCCTGACACCCAGCCTGAAGCTAAAGCCCTTTTCCTTCCTAGCTAGTCCTCTTTTGGAAAGGATCTCACCTTTTAACCCTCCCCCCAAGGGCTCTGCCAGTCTAAGACTTCGGTTGACAAGAATGCCAGCAAGGTCCCCGACTTCGATCCTGATCTGGTCATTGCTCACTGCTTCAAGCAGTTCAAGCAGAAGGACTTCCACCCGCCCCAGAGCCGCCGGCGAATCATCATTGTGCCTCACAATGAAGATCAGATGCCTGGCAAACCCGCACCCCAACCCCAGGCTCCCCCACAGCCCACCCCCAGCTTCAAAGCCCCTGATGCTGGTGCTATCCAAGAGCAGCCAGAGGACAGGAAGACCTGGCTGAGCCGCAGGGCGAAGCTGCGGGAGGAGCTGGAGTCTTTCGGTGACATCAAGAGGTGGTTGGAGAACAAGCCCAGTACCACGATTTCGGAGGACAAGGTCTTACACATGATCCACAAGGAGCAGAATGCCCAGCTGGAGGCCCACTTGACTGCTGCCAGGACCACCACGGTGAGCAGCCCCACTTGCCAGAGGAAGACATGGAGGGTTTCGGGGATGTGTTGACATTTCCATCCCTTGGGTTAGGCAGAATGAGAATGGTTCCCCCATTTCACAGAGGAGCAAACAGAAGGCCTGAAAGGGAGGTATATTTCTTATCTGTCGCTGTATCATACCCCAAAATGACTTAGAGCAACAAATATTTATTATCACACACAGTTTCTGAGTCAGGAATCTGGGAGTACCTTAGTTGGATAACTCTGGTTCAGACCCTGATGAGGCTGCAGTCAAGATGTTGGCCTGGGCCAGTGCCACCTGAAGGCTTGACTAGGGCAGAAGGGTCTGCTTCCAAGCTGGCTCACTCACATGGCTGTTGGCAGGAGGCCTCAGTTCCTCCACATAGACTTGTCCCTAGGCTGCTTGCGTGTCCTTATAACATGGCTGCTGGCATCCCCCAAGGTGAATGGTTGAAGAAAGCAAGGAGGAGTTTTCAGTGCCTTCTATGACTTAGTCTCCAAAAGTCTCAGTTTCAGAAGTTTCACATGATCACTTTTACCATATTCTCTTTGTCAGAAGTGAGTCTCTTGAGTACTGCCCCCACTCAAGGGGAAGGGAAGAAGGCTGCATCTGAGAAGGGAAGGACCTTAAAACCACGCCAGAAAGGATAATTCCTGGCAGCCCATCTTATGGTGTGTTTTGAAAATATTCCTTGGCTGAACAACATAGCGAGATCCTATCCCAACAACAACAAAAATTAGTGTGGTGGTGCAGGCCTGTAGCCCCGGCTACTCCAGAAGCTGGGACAGGAGCGACGCCTGAGCCCAGAAAGTCAAGGCTGCAGTGAGCTATGATTGAGACACTGCACTCCAGCCTGAGTGAAAGAGCAAGACTCTGTCTCAAAACAAAACAGAACAAAATACCAATTGTTCATTGACACACGTTTGCCGAGGACTGTATGTGCCAAGCAGGTGCTCACAGGGCTATTGTGAGGATCATGATTATGAGGCTGGGAGTAAAAGGAAGATTCTCCTCTTTTTTAAGTGTGGAAGTAGAAGCTCAGTGAGCCCAGCAATTTGTCCAAACGTATAGAGATGGCAAATGAGAGAATCACTACCAACTCCTGATCTCTCTGTGACATTTCCTTGCAATACACAGACTTGAAATGTTTCCCAATTCAGGTAAAGTTGGGATGAGAGGTCAGATAACTTAGGTTTAAACACAACTCTGCTCCTTTCTGGCTGTACGATCTGGGCCTCGGTCTCCTCATCCATAAATGGACGTAACCATTGTGCCCACCTCCTGGAGTTGCTGTGACATCTGAATGGGTTAATTTATATAAGGTGCTGTGCATATGGCGAGAACTCAATGAATGTTTGCAATTTTTATTACTATTGCAGTCTCACAGGTGTCATTTGGGTTGTGGATGGTCCACAATACTTCAGGGTTAGCACTTGCTGTTGCCATAGCCAAAAACCCAGATTTCATGGGTCTGACACACCCTTTTCTGCCAGTAGCACAGCACAGTGTCTACGAATAAGTAGTGGCCTTGGTTTAGAAGTCCAGCTCTACTGTTTACCAGCTGTGTGAACTTGGGCAAGTCACTTCACCTTTCTGAGCCTGATTCCTTATCTGTAAATGGAGAAGGAAATATTTAACACCTAGCTCAGCATCATCTATTGATTCAGCAAACAATTACTGCCTGCCCAGGGTCTCGGCTGTGTTCCATGCAAAGATGGGAGATGGAGGTCCTTAGCTGGTCAAGACTGGTCTTAGTCTCAAGGCTTCTCAGTCTGATTTCTCTTGCCATAACAGAGTACCTGAGACTGGATGATTGATAAAGAAGAGAGACGTATTTGGCTTTATTCCGGTGGCTGGCTAGCCCAAGATGGGGGGCCACATCTGGTTGGCTTCTGGTCAGGGTCTGGGGCTGCATCACCACAGGGCAGAAGGCATCACAAGAGAGGGGGCACATCAGAAAGAGAGAGCCAAACTTGCTTTTATAACTAACCCGCGTGGTAACCAACCCGCTCTCATGGTAACCAACTCCCTCCTTGGACAACCATCACTTCATTAGCCCATGAATCCAGGAATCCTTGAATGGATTAGTCCATTCATGAGGGCAGAGTCCTCATGACCCAATCACTTTTTTTTTTTTAATTGGAGTTTATTCTGTTGCCCAGGCTGGAATGCAGTGGCACGCTCATGGCCACCCCAGCGCTGACCTACTGGGCTCCAGCGATCCTTCTGCCTCAGCCTTCCAAGTAGCCAGAACTACAGGTGCACGCTACCACACCTGACTAATTTTTTTGATTTACTGTAGAGACGAGGTCTTGCCAAGTTGCCCAGGCTGGTCTCAAACCCACGGGCTCAGGCAATCCACTCACCTCGGCCTCCCAAAGTTCTGGATTACAGGCTGAGCTACCGAGCCTGGCCGTCAACTACCTTTTAAAGCCCACCTCTTAATTCTGTTACATTGGGGATTAAGTTTCAACATGAGTTTGGGAGGGATAAACATCCAAGCCATAGGACAAGGTGTTCATGTTTGCGGGGAAGCAAACACATCATATGAATGTCTGTACAGTTTCCTTCAGGCCATTAATAGAGGCAGGTCCAAAACACCCTGGGAGCAAGAATCTAGGGAACAGGAAGGCCCCTTGTTAACTGTCAAGTGCTACAGCAAGGTGAGAGAGTATTCTCATTCTCTCCACCTGGACTGGAGGAGGAGTAGGATTTGAACAGGTGGAAAGGTTCAGATGAAAAGGGAAAGGTATTCCAGGCAGGAGGCCCACAAGAGCAAAGGCTGGGAGACGAGCTCTCTATCTGACTCCAAGATGGGTTGTGTATTTGGTCCTGAGAGACCAGGGATTATAGATACTGACTGTCCTGACAAGAGAGATGCAGATAAAAATGAATTGTTAGTTCTCATGTTGTCCAAGCCTCTCGTTTCAGATGAGAAATTCAAGGCCCAGAGAAGCAAAGTCTCCTAGGCGTCCTGTGGCCACGCCCAGTCACACTAACACCAATGCCCTTTGCATTCCATCTTGCCATCTGTTTAGAGCTGGCCAGTCTCTCTCCCCTCACTCTCTAACTCTGGAGACTGTATCCCATTGGCCTGACTCCTCTGAACTCCCCCTTCTGCCCTCCTCTCTTGCCTCTCCCAGAAGAAAGCTCCCCAACTCTCGTGCCGAATAGTGCCCCAGCTCCGGCTGCCCAAGCCCCCTGCCCTGTCGGCCATGTACTCCTACCTGCGTAGCCGCAAGATCAAGATCCTGGAGATGTTTCACAAAGTGGACCGGAGCGAGAACCAGAGAATCACCAGAAAGGAGTTCATTATAGCTCTAAAGGCAGTAAGTGCCACCCACTTGTTGGGCCTAAGTGGGCAGGAGGCATATGTACCCGTCTTTGCCCCCTTCCCTGAGTTCTAGATCAGCTGAAAAGTAGACACAGGGAACACACACTATTAGCCTTATTACTTGGAAAATGTGGATTAACCTGTGGCCAAATCAGACCCTTAAAACCACCCCGTACTGGTCTGAGTGGAAAGTTTGCAGAGCCAACCCCTTCACCAGCCTGTGGAATCCCTGTCTTGTCCATCAGGTCCCAGGACTGAACCCACAGAGAGCTGGGCCTTTAGGCCCAGCTCTGGAACCTTCTAGAGATTCTCCAACTGTTACTGGCACCTAAATCACATAGGGGCCTTGTTAAAATGCAGCTTCTGACCCAGTACATCTGTGCAGGGCCCAAGATGCTGCATTTCTAACAAGCCTGTGGTACTGGCCTATGGACCACATTTTTGCTTTCACTGGCTACTTAATAATTTAGATTAATTATGCATTTAAAAAGCCTAGTTCCTCCATCGCACCAGCCACGTTTCAAGTGCTCAGTAGTCAAATGTGGCAAGTGGTTCCTCTCTTGGACTGTGCAGATGTAGAACATTTCCATCATAATGGGAAGTTCTGTTGGTCCAGTAGGTCTGCAAACTATGGCCCACGAGTCTCCTCGTGTTTTTAAATAAAGTTTCATTGGAACACAGCCACACACATTCATCTATATATTGTCTGTGGCTGCTTTCATGCTGAAAGAGCCGAGTGGAGTAGTCATGACAGAGACCATATGGCTCACAAAACCTAAAACACTCATTACATTGCCTTTTGTAGAAAAAGTGCCAATTCCTCTGAGAGAGGAATTAAATTTGTATGTATTTTGAATAGAAGATACCTTAAAAAAAACCTTTAGCTGGGCTCGGTGGCTCAGCCTGTAATCCCAGCACTTTGGGAGGCCGAGGTGAGTGGATTGCCTGAGCCCGCGGGTTCGAGACCCGCCTGGG